TTCTTATGAAAATTATTTTTTATTTTTTATTTAAAATAATTACAGATAAAATGAGTAAATTATTTTTGAATTTTAAGCCTACTAATGCATAGGCTTTGAACTTTTTTATTGTGCAAATTATTCACTCAGTTTTTAAAAATGGTGCAATTTGACTCTTATTAATAATAAAAGTTAATTGTAATCATTAATTAACTAGAAAAGGATTGGTTTTTTCTGTAATTTTAAGTTCTTTTATTTTATTTTCTGGTCAACTAACAATCAAAATTAATTTTTATTAATGACAGGGGATAGATTACATTATTTTTAAAAGTGGAGAGAATAGTTTGCATAATGAACAAGTTCAGAATCTATGATGCTATTGGATATAAAATTCAAAAGGTAATTTACTCATTTACCCATAATTATATTATAATTTATCAATGGCTAAAGTATACCTGTAGTCTTTTAATTTTATATAAAAATTTACTTTGATATTTTAATTTTATAAAATATTTTTTCAATTCTGTAACCCAAACATTGTTAGTTTCATCACAAAAAATTTATATACTTAACATTTAAATATTAATAAAATATTCTCAAATGTTGATATATTACATTTAAATTTTTTTAAATAATAATAATTGGCAAAAAAATCATTTAAAACTAATATTATTACAGTTAAAGAGCTAAAAATATACTTTGTAAAATTAATTAAGGAACCAAATTAAAATTTTGTATAAAATTAAAGAAGTAAAATTATGCTTTAACTTTTATTAATTTTCCATGTTAAAAATGTCAATATCTTCATCTCAATGTTTTTTTCTTAAATTTTTAGGGGAAGTTGTTTGGATAATTTACTTAAGTATAATTTTTCCCCTTTTCTCTAAACATAAGAGCTCTCCTCCTCTTTTCTTTATTTTTTTTATCAACCAAATAAAGGTAGGGGTGATATACCTATGATTTACATTAAAATACGGGCCATTTATACTTAAATATGCTAAATTGAGGTAAAAACTATATAATATATATATATACATAACTTCACTAAGTCATCATTTGTCAAAATGCAAGGAAAAAAAAAAGAAAAATGACCTAAAAATGTGGTTAAAACAAGATATTTCATCTTAAGGATATCACAAGCCTAGAAGTTTAGAACCAAGGGCGGACATACTATTAAAGAACTCAACCATGGGTGGATGAGTAGAAAACTCAACGAGATCCATCACTTCAAGTATGTTCGCGCGCGGACACACTACCAAGAAAGACGTCTGCATGTGGATGAAGCAGAAACTGGAAGTTCTCTCACCTCATGTCTCATTCACGCATGGACAACAGTGTATTGTGTATAATAACATGCGGACAAAGGGTTTTGATTTGTGGGAGTCCAATTTTTTGTGAAACAATCTAAACTGTCAAATTTAATTTAAAAGAGACATGAAGCACCCGGTTTTAAGGCTCCTTGAGTGCGAAGAACTATAAATAAGCCTTAGTAACCCATAAGAAAGACATACTTTAACATAGATGCAGTCCGAAAGGTTGAGTATGGAGTAAGAGGCTGATTTTTTTTATCTAGGAATAATTTCCTGTGCTCATCTCTTGTTCTTTTCTTAATATTGTAATGGATTTGGGGATTGTTATGATTGAATTTATATTTAGTTTTTAAATTCTCAATTAGGGTAGGGAGTAACTTGATTGAGATATTTCTACTTTTTTCTTGCTTTGATTTTATTTCCTATTTGAGAGTAGATTTTTGACTCTTTGAGAGTAGTTGTTAAATTTTATTTACCTTTTCTTATTCTTCAATCATAAATTTATGTCTAGCTAATATATTCTCTATTTGTGTTTACTTGATGAATTGAAAGGAAAACAGCAAGCCTGGACTTAGGAAAGGAATTATAAATAAATGGATTAAAAATAATTTAGGAGTTTATAGCAATGTTAATTGTAGCCTAATAGTTTAATTAAAAGGTTAAAATTTAGCGACATGTGGTTTAACTTTAATTAAAGAAAGCTTAATCTATTGAAAGGTAATTAAGTTAGTTTCATAACCATTGTTGCTTTAATTGAACATGAATAATTTCTAGTAAGTAAGAGTAGAGCATTTTGACAGGTGAATTTGATCCTTGGCATTTTGTTATTAAGTGAATCTTTGATTATTTATTTTTGTTGTTTTAATATTTCAATTTGTAATTTGGCTTTCTAAATTGATTATTATTTGTTGTGTTTCAATAACAAAGATCACTGTTCTCTATTGGGATCAACTCGAAATACTCCAGACTTATCATTATGTTGATCTCATGCACTTATGAGGTTGTAACATCCTAGAAAGTTTAACTCAATTAACTAAGTTTAATGAGGGTAATTAAGTAAATTAATGTGATGTGTGGTCAGAGAAGTTTAATAAGTGTGTTTGATTGTGATTTCAGCCCTAAATATGGGTCTGATGTAAAGTTGGGCCATCCGGGCATTGAAAGAGGGGAAGAATAGAAGGAAGGTCCTTTATGCCATATGCAGCGGCGTGATGAATGTCCATCGCGGAACCCAGAGGCAAAAATCATGAAGAAGAGCCTCTTTATGCCATGCTCAGCTGTGCACGTCCAAAATTTTAGCTAAATCAATTCGTGTCTGTGTGAAAAATCAGAAGAGAAGCAAGGGAGAAAATGAAAGGCGCGTAATTGCTCTACTAGGCCACGAGTTTGGAAGCCATTGGTGATATTTTGAAACTTCTGAACAAATAAGGTAAGTATATTATACTTCTGCTTCCCCCTTCCATTTTCATGAAGGTTATATTTAAAGTTTGAGTTGAGAGAGTAATTTTCAATTCATATGAGTTATGGGTCCAAACACATTGATCAAAATAGATATATTGGGAGCTATTTAAAGTATTTAAATCCTACATTAATTATTTTATGAGTTGAAAGTTATTAGGGACCATTAATACACAAAAATAGCAATAAATAAGATTGTTGGGAGTGTTGATGATCATTGATAGTGATTTTAATGACTCATTAATAGTAATGTGGGCCATTGAAATCTAGTAAATCTATTAAGTATGATTAAAAGTGGGTTTGTGATTGGGTATGCCTGGTTATATGGTTGTTATTGTTATGGCCAAGACTATAATTGATTTATGTGTATGATATCCATGTTTATTGTTATTTGCATCCATTCTAATTGATATGCAATTGTATAGATTAGGTAGACCTTAGGTATTGAGTGATTATACTCACATCTCATTCTTTAATATTTTCAGGGTATAGCTTATCGGATTCAAATAAAAAAAAATGATCAAAGGCATAAGATTTTGAGTAAATCCTATTTGTAGGCCTTGTAGATTTGTTTTTATGTGTATTTAAGTTGTTAACTTGCCAATTAGGAGTGCACTTTTTAATTTTATAACTTTATTTAAGGTTTTAATTTATCTTCTTGATTTTATAAAATATTTTTTCAGTCCTCATATCCTAACATAGTTAGTCTCAAATGATTTTTTGTGCCTATCATTATTATTTTAAAAATTAAACTTAATTGTTAACATTAAAAATGTTTTGTCAATATATTAAAGTTTAATGTTATTGTTAATAAAATTAACAGTGTTATAATTAGAAGACTAAAAAAATATTTTAAAAAGATCAAAATAAAAATATTGTATAAAATAAAAGACCAAATATTTACTTTTCTTTGTAATTAAATTTTGCATCCATATTTGACTGCGATGCTTGATGTATGATATTTAAATGCTCCTTTCCACACTTGATATTCAATATTTAATTCCCACTTGCACGTATTCAGGGGACTGGGCTGCTTATCATCAAACTAATTATGTGCCCGTTTGGTTTGCGTCAAGAATCGATTTTTTGGGGTTTAATCGATTTTCAAAACAAAATTTGCCAAACAGTAGAAAAATGCAATAATCGATTAGGGAGGTTAAACGCGCGTTAATTCTTAATCTACCAAAACCAGCTTCAGCTTTAAGCTTTTTACCGTTATTCACGTGCTCTTTATCTGTGCCCTTCACGTGATTGAGTTCTCTTCTTTCTAATCCTCATTTGTCTTCTATCAGGCGCAGCTTTCTTTCTGTGATCTCCTCTTTCGTTCAGCTCACCAGTCGGTCCTCACGGTGGTGCCGCCGCTCTGTCATCGTCCAGCCATCCCCAACTTAGTCACCGTCCACCATCTCCCGTCGTGCCGTCTCTGCCGTCGTCCACCCACCTCCAACAGGTGTGCCGTCTCACAGTCGGTTCTCACAGAGGCAAGGATCTTTCGACTATCTTCCAACTCTGTGCAGATCTGTGGTCCTCGTGGCGTCACCTCCTCCGTCCACCGTCTCTGAGTTGCTTCCAGTGGTGGTGATCTCCTGCTATGGTCGAGGAAGGCAGTAAGCTTTATCTATACTCTGTTTCCTCGATCTGCTCATGGTCCTCCGTCTGTCGCTGATCTGCTCGTGGTCCTCCGTCCGTCGCTGATCTGCTCGTGGTCCTCCGTCCGTCGCTGATCTGCTCGTGGTCCTCCGTCCGTCGCTGATCTGCTCGTGGTCCTCCGTCCGTCGCTGATCTGCTCGTGGTCCTCCGTCCGTCGCTGATCTGCTCGTGGTCCTCCGTCGGTCGCTGATCTGCTCGTGGTCCTCCGTCGGTCGCTGATCTGCTCGTGGTCCTCCGTCGGTCGCTGATCTGCTCGTGGTCCTCCGTCGGTCGCTGATCTGCTCGTGGTCCTCCGTCGGTCGCTGATCTGCTCGTGGTCCTCCGTCGGTCGCTGATCTGCTCGTGGTCCTCCGTCGGTCGCTGATCTGCTCGTGGTCCTCCGTCGGTCGCTGATCTGCTCGTGGTCCTCCGTCGGTCGCTGATCTGCTCGTGGTCCTCCGTCGGTCGCTGATCTGCTCGTGGTCCTCCGTCGGTCGCTGATCTGCTCGTGGTCCTCCGTCGGTCGCTGATCTGCTCGTGGTCCTCCGTCCATCGCTGATCTGCTCGTGGTCCTCCGTCCGTCGCTGCTCTACTCGTGGTCTTCTTCAGTCGGTCTAACTCAGAGGTAAGTGATCTTCTCTTTCTGGACGATCTTGTTCAGGTTTGATCTTGGTCAAATTTTGTTTTCCTCTCCACTCTGATCTATGCATGGATGGATTTGTTCTCGGGATTGCTGGCTTAGTTTTGTGTGGCTTGAACCATTTACAACTCTTGAACATTTGCAAATAATAAGATGGGTGAAAGTTGATTTTTTATGCTATTTCTGTGTTAGTTTTGTGCCTAGTTGAACTCTGTGCTGAACATGGGAGATCTGTTAAAAGTTAATTTTGTAGCTATTGAAACTTGATTTTAGTCAAAATCTATGCATTTGCAAATTGTGGGAAAGCTGGTGAAAGTTAATTTTGTGCCAAGTCGAACTCTTTGCTGGTTTTGGTTTGTGATCACTGATTACTGGAGCTTTATTCTCAAACATTATGTTTTGCATATATAGGGGTCATTTAGTCGAATTTTTTGCTGTGTGAGTCTCTGTTGAATTTGGCTCCTCTGAAAATTGCCAAGTTTTTATCATGTAATATTTTAATTATAATTTCTATAATTAATATGTTAGTTTTTTACATAGTATAATGAGTAACAATAAGTCAAAAGCTTCATGGGATCGAAGAAATACTAGAATCTTTATTGACATTTGTTTGGAACAAGCTCGAAAATCGCAAAGAAATGGTGGTAGTTTTACCAAAGCAGGATGGCTCAGCATAATTTCTACCTTCAATGAGAAGACTGGACAGAAATATGACAGACAACAATTCAAGAATAAGTGGGATAATATGAGAAAAGAGTGGGTACTATGGGATAAGTTAGTTTCAAGTGAGACAGGATTGGGTTGGGATTATGCAAACAATACTGTGGATGCTTCAGACGATTGGTGGGAGAAGAAGATATTGGTATGATGTTATTATATGAGGCTTTATATTTATTTTATTTATTTGTGTATTATGTAATATTATTGATAATTTATGTGCAGGAAAATCCTTTATATGAGAAATTCAGACATAAAGGATTACCATTTGCCAATGAATTAACCGAGTTGTTCCAAGGTACTATCGCTAATGGACCTAGAGCATGGGCACCTTCAAGTGGAGTTTTGCCTAACATTTACAATAGGAATGAAGGTGAGGATGAAGAGGTGTATCGGCCTGATATGGCAAATGAGGGTATTAATTTGGAGGAAGGTTCAGGAGATAGTGATGAGATCTTAGGAACTACTGGAGTAAGCGGTGAATTTAATAGAGTAGTTCTAAATGCTTCTCAAGGAACCTTAAGTGGAAGCAGTGGTAAGAGGAAGAGGGGCGAAAGCAGTAACGGTAGAAAGAAGAACAAGTTACCTAGTACAAGTCAAATAGCAGATGCAATGAGTGTGATAGCTCAGACAACAAAGGAAGAATCTCAACAGGCCAAGGAAACATCAATTCCCGAAGTCATGTCTATAGTCAAACAATGGGAAGAAGTTGCAACTGATAAACATTGGGTTTCACGATGCATGTCACTCTTCATGTCCCGAGAGGCTAGGGTGATGTTTTTGACGATGAAGGATGATAAAGAAAGCGTTTTGGAGTGGTTGAGATATGAATGTTACAAAAATGGTTGATTATTGGAGTTTTAAAACTTATTATGAGTATATGATCTTACTTAAAAAGTAATCTAACATGTTTGTATTATATTGTAGAATTTAACTTATGTAGCCTCTTGAACTACTTATGTACTTTTTATATATGGTAATTGAGTATTACAATGTTGTGGAAAAGTCATTGGTATTTCTATAGATGACTTATTTAGATGTATCTATAATTGAAATTAAGTGCACGTATTATTTATGTGTTTGGCTACAGATAGCAAGACATATGGAAGAGTCATCTAAAAAAAGGCTAAATAGAGCCCAAAAAGTTAGTGCTCTCATTGGGTTGTATGCAACAAGACATTTGTGCAAAGAGCCACGAAGAAATAGTGAATATACAGGTCATTTGTGGGTGAATGAAATTTTAGAAGGACACCCAGTTCGTTGCTATGAAATGTTTAGAATGGAACCACATGTGTTCCATCAATTATGTAGTGAATTGACACGACATGGATTGAAGGATACTAGGCGAATGAGAGTACAGGAGATGGTTGCAATTTTTTTAAATACAATTGGATATGGGTTGGGAAATAGGATGGCACAAGAAAGATTTCAACATTCAGGAGAGACTATTCATAGACATTTTCATAAAGTTTTAATGGCTTCCTCGAAACTTGCAATGGAATATATTAAACCACAAGACAAGTCCTTTCGTCATGTATCAAACAAAATAGAAAATGATAAGCGATATTGGCCATTCTTTAAAAATGCCATTGGAGCAATTGATGGCACACATATTCCATGTGTAGTCCCTGCTAGTGAAAAATCAAAATATATTGGAAGAAAAGGAATCCCTACGCAAAATGTAATGGCTGTGTGTGATTGGGACATGTGCTTTACTTTTGTCTTGGCTGGATGGGAGGGCACTGCACATGATGCTCGCATTTTTCAACATGCCCTGACAGCTCGATCCATGAACTTTCCACACCCGCCTTCAGGTATTTTTATTTGTTCAATTTATTTGTGTTAGACTTTCCACCTTACAGGCATTGATAGTAATTTTTTTTACAAGGTAAATATTATTTGGTGGATGCTGGTTATCCAACACCAAATGGATATCTTGGTCCGTATAGACGGGAACGCTACCATCTTCCTGATTTTAGAAGATCAACTGGATTTGCAAATAATAACGAGGTCTTTAATTATTTTCATTCAAGTTTACGGTGCACAATAGAAAGAACATTTGGAGTTTGGAAGAAGAGGTTTGCAATTTTACGCAACATGCCTAGCTATGACTACGATATACAAGTTCAAATCGTTGTTGCATCAATGGCGATACATAATTTTATTAGAAGACACTCTAACTCTGACGCTGATTTTATGCATCATGAGATGGAAGATCAGGAAGATTATGAGGACCAAGAAGACCATGGCGTTGATGGATATTCATCCATGACATCTTCTTCATCAGCTATGACTAGTATTCGTGATATTATTAGGGACCAACTTGTATATTATCATCTTCATTAGTTGTTGTAAAATTACTGTTTTATATTTAAGAATTTAATTTTCTTGTCTTTTATTGAATTTATTTTAAGCAAGATATATTTAGTTATTTATTTACATAAATTTAAATGTTAATATTAATATAATTTAAATTTTTAATTAATTATATATGTAGTTTAAATAATATATTTTGCTTTTTAAATAAAATGTAACAACTTTAATACTATTACATACAAATCTATCATTAATTTAAATTTAAAAAACAATGTCCTTTATGGTAAGTTAAACAGCTAAAATTGATTCTAAAAAAATTATCCAAACATCTTCAGTTCTGTTAAAATCAATTTTAGAAAAACAGCATCCAAACATATTGCGTTCTAACATAATCAATTATGATTAAAATTTACCACTTAATCAATTATTTTCATAATCTATTATGCCCAACTGAAATCCAAACGGAGCCTATGTATATTGATCAGGACGTGCTAGCTAGGTATCCATCTTTTGATTACCTGACCACTCAGCGTATTCTAAGCAGTAAAAAAAAAAAAGGGTATTCTAAGCAATAATTATGGAAATATAATTGACTTAATTTGTGCACACGAATATAATGCTAGCGCAAACTTGCTAATCGGTGCTTCCGTGTCACCATTTTAAATTAATTAAATTGACATGGTGCATTGATTGTACTTTAGCATATACTCCCTCCTATTAACTTATAAGACACTTTTAAATAAAATTTTATATACTAATAAAGCTTACTAAATACACTTTACAACTTTATATTTTCAAGATAACAATATAAACTTTCAAAAATACTTTTCACTTAATACTCCATTGATACAAGAATTTGAAGAGAAAGAAGACATGGGAAGGATAATATTGAAAAACTATAATTAATGAAATCTTATTTTTATCAAAATGTTTATATTTTGAAATACTAAATCTTTCCTAAAACTATTTTCTAATTTGGGATGGAGGGACTATTTTCTTTTGTCCAAATTATAAGACATTTTTTCTCAACTCATCTTAGTTTAAAATATAAGATATTTAGTAGGTTTTAATTTTTTTTTCTTATTTTACCTTTGTATATATTAACTTGATTTTTTGTGTAACTTCATTGGTATTTATTATATTTTTCACACTCTTCATGATATCAATTTATTACAATTTTCTCACTCTTCATAATAGTTAATTGGCCTATCACGCTTTCTCATATTATAGTACTTCATTAAAAAATATTATCTCTCTCATTTAATTTATTATTGACAGTTGGAGAAATAGGTAAAAAGAAAAACTTATGATATTTATAACAAAAAACAAGGATATAACTAAATTTTGTTGATATTTAAATTATAGTTAAAAATATCTTATATTTTGGACTGGAGAGAGTATAACCAATCAATTTAGGGTCATGATTTATTTTAAATTTATCATAACTTAATAAGTCACATAATACAATATAATATGAAATAATTTAAAAAATTTGTTATTTTAGAAAGATTGATAAAAAAATAAAAAAAGAAAGTTTTTTTTTTCAGTAATCCAACCTAACTCTCAAAATAATTTTTTCAGCTTAACAGAACCGTTAGCATGATCGATGGATAGTTTGACCATTCAAGTTAGTCTATTTTTTTAATCATTGCTGATAATAAGCATATTAAATTCACTTAATCAGCTGAACTAAACTTCTCTATGTAGGCATATTTTTTTAGATGAATAGTATATGACACAATAAATCATGGCTCCAGTTAAATATTGGTATTGATAAATTCGATCAAATGAGACAATAGTTTTAAAAGTTGACCGCGTTGCATACCCAACGTCTCGAGGCTGGCAAGCACTTGACATAAATTTATTAATAATAGGACTTGTTATAAATTTTATATTTTGTATTAATATTATTTTTTGAGTTACAAAGGGCAAGCATAACGCTTGAGAAACTAACACTAAATCAAACTAGAAAAACTCAGAAACAAACAGACAAAAGTATAACAATCATCCACTTTCACAGAGATCGCTCTGCATCAAACTGATACGCACAGACGGCACTACGTTAAGGATAACAGAAGCATACAATTTTAATATTAATGCCCAGTGGCTGGTACAAAGTATAAAATTTAGGGTAAACAACTCTGACTTTTTTTCTATTTTATCTTAATTACATATATATATTTTTTATTTTTAAACCAATATAAAACTCCCCTAACATGAATGGTCATAAACATGAACGTCCTTTCTATTTTTAATATTTTATTTTTATTTATTCAACCATTTATTGATTGTTAAGTCATACATGTTTGACGAAAATATCTCTCCTTAGATATATATTGTATAAAAATCATTTAAATTATTCAAAAAGAAATTTATGCATATATATTTTTACTTTTCCATTTATATTTTAAAATCTTTATCATGTAAAAAATATTTATTTAATATTTTTTAAAAAATAAATAATAAATTTGTTAAAATAATATTCAAACACGTAGTTCAAAAAATTTAAGAAATATTTTCATAAAAAATTTATGGAATTAGAATTTAATAAAATAAATTACTCAATCTAATTTATGTTTTTTTAATTTAATTAATTTTAACACAAAAATTTTAACTTATTTATTTAAATATTCACAATCTTAATTATTTAAAGTTTTTTGTAATTGGGAGAGAGGGTAGACAATTAGATCATAAGGACAAGTTAATAATTTTAAAATTTTTAACATAATTACAAATAAAAATAAGTATTTTAGATTCTTTAAAGAAATATTTATAATGGTATTAAGAATTGAACCATTTTGAAAATAGAATGGAGGCATCTGCAATTTTAGCAAAACAGAAGGGAAATCAATGTATTTTGCTTTAAAATTTATAAATACTCACTATATAGTAACCGGACATTGTGGTGCTGACATTTGCGAAGCATGAATCTAAATTATCCTATTTTCTTGTTGACCTTATATTCTACTCCCTCCATTTAAAAATATAAAATATTTTTAATTGAATTTCACCCTTCAATAAAGTAATTATCTACTTTTAAATTAATTTATCTGTTCATATTTACCCATATTAAAACCCTATAATAAATATAAAGTCACTATCAATAAAGACACTTAAAAAAAAGACAATAATTATACATCAAAAAACTAAAAATATTTTAGATTTTTGAATATCTAACTTTTTAAAAAATGTCTTATATTTTTTAATGGAGGGAGTAATTAAAATTTTGTAGATATGTTGGCTTTGTGCCTAATTTGTGGTTGTTAGCCAGCGTACGTTTTGTGATTTGTCCGTGGATTGATGCATGGTATTTTTGTTAGTTTTAACTAATAATGTTTCTTTCTCGACTATATATTAATATATACATATCGTATTTTGATGTCTTAAATATAATTAAAGGGAAGTTTGGCCAAAGAAATTAGATGGAAACTTGCACATTAGACATGAAGAAATTTGTGACCCAAAAAGTAGGGAGATGATTTGATGATGTAGCCACATGGAGAGGAACAAATGAAGACAAAGATGATCATTGCAGTGATCCAACCGGATAAAATCATGAAGGAGGCAAGC